GTGACCAATAACAGGACTGTAGGAAGGTATCTATTTGTGATGACAAACTAATATTCCTAATTCATCTCACACAGAAGACACAAAAGCAAGTGTGCAATATTTCTACCCTTTTAAACATTTATTAGATTTTTCATAAAGTTTTAAAAAGATGTAAAAACCTGTCCCCATTACTGCTTGTTGAGAGTTTCTATTTGAATCCACTAAATTTTGCAAACCTTCCAATACTGCAGTGCATCTGAATACCAAACTTCAATGAATCTTTCTGATAGCTGCCAAATATCAAAAACATACCCGAGCTTCACAGTAAAACTATTCATCCTCATTTACTGGTTTACCTAGAGCCTCCTCTGACACCAGTATTCCCAATTATCATTTTACTTGTCCCCAGATCAAACATTTTCCAGGATATATTCTTTAATTTATATGCTGCTTCTAAATGCTTTCCATAAAGTGGAATGGAAATTTGTCAGAACAAAAGCAGGTACCATCACCAAGAATATCTTCCTACCTGCGTTGTGTTTGTGTGTGTGTGGGGGCATTTTTGGCAGCGGTGGAAGGGGCTAGAGTGATGGCCCCTGTGAGAAGCTTTGTGAAGCTTCCCTTGCTCCAAGGTGGACCCGCCTCTAGCCCAGGCTGAGCCAATCAGCAATAGGGAAACGCCTCTTTGAATCAATATTTATGAGGGGAAGGACTGTTTTGAAAAGAAGGAGGAGAGAACCAGCAGGAGAGACCATTGACTTGAACAATAGACCATTGGTCTAAACAAGAAGAGCATAGTTGCCATGAGGAAGGAGGAGGAAGACAGAGAACCTGGAGACACCAGGATCAGCGTGCAGAAGAGTAGGAGGAGGTAAATGAGGTACCCTGCAGCCCATGGAAGTTCAACAGCAGAGCAGATACCCACGTGTAGGCAATGGAGGAATCCACGCTGGAGCAGAAAGCTGTGCCCAAGGGCAGTTGTGACTGGGCAAGGAGACCCCAGACATGCTCAACACCAGAGCAGAGGGGGAGGCAGTGTGCTAGACCAGAAACCTGTCTGCAGCCCATGGACAATCCCATGCTGGAGCCAGGAGATGTGTCTGAAGAGGTTCATGACTCCATGGGAAGCCCACATTGGAACACTTTGTTCCTGGACTCTTGTAGCCCATGAGAGGGATCTCACACTGAAAAGAACAGCGTAGACAAACCGACTGCAACCCCCATTCCCTGTCCCCCTGCGCCACTGTGGGGGGAAAAGGTAGAGAAATTGTGAGCAAAGTAATTTGAGTCTGGGAAGAAGGGAGGGCTGTGGGAAGGTGTTTTAAGATGTGGTTGTTGTAACTCACTATCCTGCTCTGATTGACTGGTAATTAAATTGATTTTTTTCTTCCCCGAGTTGAGTCTGTTTTTCCTGTGACCATAATTGGTGAGCGAGCCCTCCCTGTCCTCATTTCAACCCACACGCCCTTTGCTGTGTTTCTCTTCCCATCTCACTGACTGGCAGGGGAGTGAGTGCAGGACCGCATGGTCTTAGCTGCGGCTGAAACCACCAAACTAACAAAACTTCCAAAAGAATCCATGACACTGAGCTACCTAAATTCTTTTAACCTTCAAAATCTACATTTGAAATTTGACTCAGAATTTACATTTCTACTGGATGCTTTTTGAGGTCAGAGATTAAACTTCAAGTATTTTGCATCCTATTCTTTCTGCTGCTCTACATTCTCAATTCTTTGTGTCATAACATCTTGCTAAGCAAGATTATACTGTTCCTCTAAGCTTAAACTGAACTCAGACTTCATTAAGCAACTTAACAGAAGCTAGTGCTCCTAATAAAAATGCTTGAGATAAAACACCAAAGAAAAGAATCTCTGTTCTTCAAATGATAAGCAATGATACTATAAAAATGTTCTAAGACAACAGTAAACCTCAATTACATGAATGGAGAATACGAAAATGAATAAAAGGAACTTAAAAGGATTTTATGCTCAAGAACCAGGCAATAAAGAGAAAAAACACAGCTATTTATTTGTAAGGCTAAGATCATGTTTGTTTACTAGTAACTAGTTCCAACTGTTCTTCAAAACCAAAGAACACGATTTAGATTCTGAGAACAGTATTAAAAAAGTTTATCCATTTCTTTTTCAAGTCTTTCTACTAACTTGCCATTATCAAGGTGCTGTTGATAATGGCAGCAAGAACAGAAAAAGAACGTTGTGCTCTGTTAATTGATGACAGCTCAACAACGAACAAAAGCAACATGTTGGTAATGTAATTTAAATAATATTTATGAGTAAATATTGTACTCTGGAGATAAAAGGACAAGCTATTCATGAAAATATTTACATAGAAGGAAAATACTGATAAAATACATATATCTATGTTCACCTAACAGATATGCTATGCTTTGAAACAGAAATATAAATAAAATAAGCTACGTTTTGCAGTTTTCTACTCTGGATTTTTTTTCTGTTTTTAAGCAGGATAACATATATCACTGCCTGAAATTAACAAAATTAAGCAATGTACATGCAGGAATCCACCATTACTATGTCATGTTCTAGGATGTGCAGCACTTAGAACAAATACACGATTCAGTATATTTTCAGCTAAAACATCTGAAGGCTTATTTTCAAAATAAAATGCCAGTTTTAAAACTAGGGGGTTTTGAAGCAAAGTAACATGTGAAAATGGTTAAGCTATGGAGAATAACATGACTTAAATTCACAACTTACTTAGGAGTTGAAGGACCTCTTGGCCATGTTCCATCTTCATTCTTCTGTTCTATCACCAGTACCTACCACAAAAAGTGTAATAAGAAAACTGAAATAGAAGTATCAGTAGATTGCTTTCTGTTTATACCTTTTTAATGGATTTGCTGATATGTGATTGAGACAGAAAAGACTGGTGTGTATATTCCCTGAGGTTCAAGAATGTTCCATTCAATTACACTGCACCTTCCTCTTGCTTATTCACTTTCTTCTCTAACCTTTCTTTTTTCTAAAACTGTAGTTTGTGCAACTTTGGGCAAGCTACTTAATATTTCTATGCCTCAACAATCTATGGATAAAATGGCAATACCCTGCCCCTCAAGGACATCAGAAGATGACCTGCAATGGCTAAACAGCATCTATGAATCTATAGCAATCACATGTCTACACAACAGCCCTGTTAAGGAAGGGATATTCCTGAAGGAATTTTGCCTCTCACACAACACAGATCAGTAAGAAGAAAAAAAAAAAACCCAGACCAAACCATTTTGTGCCTTGATATCCTTAAAATCATACCTGTCTAATTACTCCTGCATTTTTTGCAAAAGCATTCATCTAATAATAATTCTCCCACAGGACAGTTGGTTAATAAAATTAATTTCATCCAAGTTGTTATTAGTACAAAAGAGTACAGAACACTCAGTCCTAAACACAGGCATCAAGTGCCATTTGAAACGCCTTTGGGTATTTGAGATATCTGCCCTATGCTGGCAGATATGACACAGGACCTACAAAAAGCTCATGCCTTTCTGGATTGACAGCTGGGATGGCCTAGATCATCTGAAACAGCAATTAGAATCAAAGATTTAAACTGAATCTAACTCTTAATTTCCAATGTAACTAATTCTGCATACTGTACACTGATGTTTCAGGATGCCAATTAACTGCCATGCTATGCTTGTATGTGTCTACACGGTGACATACATTCACATATGTACTTATGCTCAAAATTTTATGTATAAGTCATGCTGTCACTTGAAGATGTAATTTTCAGTCTGAATACACTAAGATGTGACACTGAACACCACCTTTCTGTCATGAACTAATTTTTATCTGGAAAAGAGCAGTATGCTGCCTTAGGTCACAAATGCTGTAAGACAGATCCTGCCATGTTTCCTTCCACTGTCTCTAAGAAACTACTAAATAAAAGGAAGATTCAGACTTAAAAGTTCAATGGAACCCTTAAAGGCTCGCTTCAGAAACCAACTGATAAATTAAAAACATTAATTTACTCAATCACATACATAGTTTAGAATTACACAGTAAAAAATTACTCTTAGGTCAGATAGACTATAACAGTCAGAATAACTATAATTAGATTAGAAGGCTCAGCAAGAAAAATAACAACCCTGTGTGTCAACAAGTGCAACTGACCAAACACACATGGTCCACCAAGACATTTAGCATTTTCAGAAACTACAGTTAAACTCAGTTTTGAACAATATTTGTTTTGCTAAAAGTACAGATGTCACCTAGACATCTTTTTATGGTTATATTAGACCATGCTTGCTTCATAGTTAATGTTTTACTGGGATAGAGGCAATTTGCAAGCTACATCTTTGACGCAAATCTTTTATGGGAGATGTGGATTCTTCCAGCAGGACCTCTGCATGGTTAAAATTACCTGTGTTAGGGTTTAAGTGCACGCAGCATGAAGCTAAAAGAGCACAATAGTTCAAGCTGTTATTTTGGTGGACTGATTACTTACCTTCCATGCCATAAAAGAAAACTAAAGCACAGCATAAATACTTCTGGTAAGTAGGTTAGAGTCAAGTACTTCGAGGCAAAAGGAAATACTTCAACATAATCTCACCTACAGTTACTGCCATCAAATTACATCCATTCATATTTGTAGCACAACAGCATGAGTTACAGCTGTTGAAAAAACATTCAACTCTATCTGAAGACTAAAGAATCAATGTAACAATTTGAAAAGTTATTCTAACAATGAAATTGTTCAATCAGTTTGCATTTATATTTGTGTAGCTTTAACAGCCAATATTTATATTTACCTGGAAACGTAGAAAAAATTATCTTGTAAAAATCCTCCCATAAAGTGATTTTAAAGTGATGATATAGTCTCATGCTAAAGCAGGTTTTAAAGTTCTTTTGTCTCTATAGTTCTTAACTGAAATATTTTCATTTTTTCTGAATTTTCTTCTAAAATCTGGACCGTAGAACTTGAGTAGAAGACATTATTCTTTTAGAATACCTAAAATGTTCTCCAGATTTTGGGTTTCATTATGGGAACATAACCCATAGATACTAGGAATATTTTTTTATTTCAGGTTTTACCAAATTCAAGTCAGCAATGTTATGTTCATTTACTTTTAATTCATCAGGAGAGTTCAACTAATCTTTAATCCTGAAAATACACTCAAAGATTACTTTTATTTTGATGAATTTGTTTCTAAAATCCTCTATTCCTAACACAATCTATTAGGAGGTGATTTTCATTTAAAAAGAAGGAAAATTCATTGGGTACAGCTACTTTTTATGAACATAGAAACATACTCAAAAAGAGAAAGAATATTACACTGTACCTGTCCCTGGTATAAACCAGCATCCTGTATGGTACTGTCTGGTTTATTTAAAGGTTCAAAAGTATTACTCATGTATTTGTTCCACAACCTGGTCTCTTTTTCACCTGGAATATTGAAGATTTTTCTTATTTCTTTTTCAATTGTATCTGTTTTGAAAGGGAGAGAACACAAGTTTAGCATTTCTCTACACAAAGAGTATATAAGGCCAAATAAAGCATCAGAATCACCTACTCTTTTCTTATATTCAGAATATGAATGAAACTAGAAATAGCCATGTAACCACATCATGTAGAACAAGCAGCAAGTTGCTGGTTTGCTTGCCTTTAAAACAGAAACAGTCAGAAAACTATTTTATTCCCTCCTGAATCTCTTAGCAAAGCAGACCAAATAATGACAAATTGACAAAAAACAGATGACAGGAGGTACCTAGGTACCCATCTACTAATTTCTCAGTGTGGTTACACAGGAGTGTGGGTGGGTAGGGAATGATTAGAAGCAAGTCTGGAAGTAAAACCAGGTGCAGAAGGGCAAGTCATTCTGTTCCTCTACCTAAACTAAATCATATGTTAAACACAAAAAGTCAAAATCAGACCTGAAGCTTAAAAGTACTCTGTAAAACTTCAGCCATGGGCTTGTGAAATGCATGACAACTGGCCAATATATACAATTTGTCCATATTGTGGGCAACTGAACGCATTTTCCTTCTTTACTAGTTAACACACATTTTAGTATGAAAGCAAGTGTTAGACTGGAACACCTGTTTCTGTAACAGAGATGATACGTAGGCAAGGTAGGTGCTATAAACAAGACAAAAGGTTGTGACTTGATTTGCTGACTTTAAAAAAACCCAACAAACCAACATGTCCTCTCTGAATCAATTCTCAACCAATGATTTCAAATAACTACATTTGAATGTAAGAATGAATCTAGTCAGCAACAATCTTTAAAAAGAAAAATCCACATTTATCAATGAATTTCACTAAAATAATTTACAAAAGATAATTTTTCATTATTTTATTAATATCATGACAATTAATTATTTGATCATTGTAGCTCGTTTTCTTTGCAAGTACTAAGTTAACATTTATTATGTTGATTTTTAACATATTCCAGCTTCACTAACAGAACTGTTATTTAACAGGGAGCATCAATTCTATCAGATGACTGCACATTATGTTCAAGACTCTGGGAAGAGCATGTTCCACTCTACTAGTCATTGTGCTAATTTTGAGCCTGTGAAACCAAGGTTCTTTTACATACTTCCATGAACGTAACCAATGCACACTTTATAGTTCTTCCCCCCACCATCCAGGTAAGTATCACTGAAGTGCTGGCTTACGAACTAAAGTGAAAGTGTCTGTTCCAGTATAAGTGAAAACATTACATTGAAATATGTATGGTCTGAGGCATATTGTACACAGGGTTCTCATCTAGCAGTATTATACACATCCCATGTATGAGACGATTAGTACTAGGATGATGTCTAAAAGAGACAGGCAGAACTGCCCTTTAAAGATGCCTCTCACTCCATCAGCTATATAGCCACAATTTGAGATAGTTTAATTTGAGAGTTAAAGGTTATAGTTCTCATAGAGGATATATCATATACCATTAAAAATCATATAGATCCTTCAAAAAAACAGCTGCATGATTTAAGTATTATTTTGCGAAACCACCTGGAAGGCAGAGGAGTCTTTATGAGATGCTGGAGAAGTTCAGTGGATCTTAATACAAGTAAACTCTGTCTCCTAAAGGCTAGTGCTATCACAAACACTAGCTAAAGGAAACTAGTAAAATGTTTGTCTGTACTGTGAAACAGTAATCCCGCTTCCTAAAGAAGGGAAAGTCTAGTCACAGATTACAGAATAAATTGTCCTCAAGGGTGACAAGTTTTCTGTTCTTTTATTTTGCAGCAAATTAAAGGAAAAGATGAATCAAAGCCATTTGCCAAGATAACTTACTAGCAGAAGTCCAAAAGCCCATTAGATGCAGAGCCACCTGTGTAATCTTCTACAAAGTTTATCAGCTCAGTTTTGGAATTGTTTTTATGGCATTGCAGACACAACCTAATTCATCCATAACAGAGGCTACAGTCTTTCTGTCATTCTGCAGTTTGTAAAACTCTTGGATAAAGGTAGAAAAGGCTTACGCATTAACCGATGACTTAGTTTTATCATACTTTCATATGATTAAGACTCTTCAATGGAACATTAACTCATTTTCACTCAGAAGCCCTGATGTTTTCTAGGTTCAGCAACAATAACTACACTGAAATGTTGCCTGAACTACATCTATTACCCAGCTCATTCTCTTTTTAGAATTAAAAAGCCACACCCCTGCAAGAATAAGTCATCAATCAGTCTCAAAGTTAATATGCACTGCCTCCAAGGCAAGATTCCTCAATTGTAGGAGATTCCCAAGAAGGTCAAAAGAACACATTGGATGTTTCCAGTACCACCCCAAGAAAATTATTAGGTACATCCTTTATAATTATTTTTTCCTACCTTGTAGTAATTTACTGACATACAGCTTAGCTTAGTTTCTGTTTCAATAGAAAAGCCAAAGTATTCCAGAATAACACAAATTTGGAGATTGGTAGGTGAGTATTATATTGTATAATACTCAGGGTATTTAAGGTGCTCCAAAACTTTCTGTTTAAGTGAATTAAGGAAGGTCTTGTCTTCATCTTTTGAGGGCAGTAAATAACTTAATAAATTATGGTGGTCAGAAAAATTTAACTTCTTGAAAAGACCATAGCACCTTATGTCCACTCACCTCAGTGGGGTTGATATTGACTCTTTTGTACTATAAGTCTTCAACCTAATGAAAAGGCATCCCTTACTGGCATACACAAGGAAAGATGAAAAATAAACATGATTCTGTAAGATTTCTCTTGCATATTATTTATTGATAGAACTAGTATCTCTGACATATATCTGACGAATTCCAGAACTACCCTAAATATACTTAATGTAATGACAAGGAAAAAAAAATTAAAAAAAAATAAAAAATCACTGTCTTATTAATGGATGATAGGAGAAAAATCTCAGGGATCAGTTATTCTTTCACTCTGAAAAGTGATTTTAATTTTTCTAACTCTTCTTCTAAGAAACAAGCTCTTTTGGATGTCCTAACTAGGACAGCCCTGCTTGGTGCTCTGCATGAGAAGATTCAGCTTCAGAAAGGGCATATTTTTAAGGCTTCCAAGAGCATGTCATCCACATCTCAGAAAAGCAAGTAAGGTCAGCGTCTGGAAAGGGTCGCCCGTGAGTCTGACTGTGTCTCATTACCCTTTATGACAACTTTCTCATAACTGTAATTCTCTCTCTGTTCAGAAAAAATGAATACATCTCCAAGTAACAGTCATTCCAAAATGCCCTGCTTCTGGTTAGAGAAAGAAAGTATCAGAACTTCATCCATTACCTATAACTACAATGATACAATTAAATTTACTATAGCTGCAAAACAGCTTGTATTTGGTCCTCAGGGAAGAATAATGTTAAATTGTTTTTTCTAAGTTTCTGGGTTTCCTTAGAGAATAATGAAGTACATCTTCCAAAGTTAAACCAGATCTCAAAAAGGCCAATTAACACACAACACTGAAGGCTTGTTTCAAGGATAAATTTCATAATTTTTAAGTTGTTTTTTTTTCCTAAGACAAGTGCAGATCATTACTTGTTTAACTTAAAGACTAAAATTTAACAAAGTAAAATGATTCTGTTTTTCAAGCAAGCAATCTGCAAAGAGTTAAAGGGCAGCAAGTGTAACTGACTGCCTATAATGTAAAGAGAAGCAAAACCTGAAAACCCCACGTTGTTGTCAAAGAAAGTAAAAGGAGTAATGGCTGGGAATAAAGTGCCAAGGGCATAAAGTACAATTCTAACTGCACAAATAAATCTGAAGGACTCATATCTCAGATACATAAGCACAAATACACCAAAAATTGAGTTTATATGCTCAGCAATATCTTTGCATATGTTGTGATTGTTATTTTCAGAGACAAATATGTTAATAAAATATGGTTTCAAACCACACAATGCTCAAAGAGTAGGCAAAATGACTACAAATAAAGGTAAGTTAAAGGTGTAATACGGGACTCAGTTACAGTAAAAGATTGTGCATTGTCTGCCACTTCACAACCCAAACAATACTGCCTTTGTAGGTCACTTTTAGACATTAATTTATAAATTCAATTAATTCTTGTGTTTCCTAATATACCCCTCTCTCTCTATATATATGACTAAAAAATGTTGGCTAATGAAAGAAAATGGAAACACATGAAAAAACATACTTCTTATACACCAAAAGCCAAGAAAAAGCACTATGGAATCCCATACAGATAACGAAAAACATCACACCACCTCCTGAAAAGTGCAAACCTCTAGAGTTAACTAAGATGCCTAGACAATAAAACACATTTTTTTTTTTTAATAAAAATGTATTTCAAATCCTAAATATTCCAAATAGTTTAACTTTTAATTTTGACCCAAACAAGACCAGTCTCATCCTTTTTAATGGTTACAATAGCCATCTATCATTTTACCTAGAGACTTATTTATTCAGAACTTGCTACCAAGTACTATTTAAACACAAGTAACAGTCATATATTGTTAGAAATAGTTGTGCATACCTATTGTATCAGCTTTACTAAATCTTCGTGTGACAACATTGTTCATATTTCCATTTTCACAAAGCTTTAATTCTGTTAGATATACTTCTACTTTGCAGTGCTTTACAAACATACCCTGTTCAACGACCTGAAAAACAGATTGGGATCAGGTATCAGTCCAAGTAAGTTTTCATATACACACTTCAAAATATTTTTGAAAACTCTTCAAGAAACTGAAGGTCAGGGAATGTAAGAAACTTAATGCAAAAAATTAGAACTAAATTCTCCTATAACTTTTCAGAAATACAGTAAACAAAGAAGTAATTTTAGTAATTTAGTCTTACCTGTGTATAACACCACCATGACTTTCAAAGTCTTCATTACAGAGAAAAATCACAAATATGCATACTTAACCAAAAGATAAGATACTTGATCAAAAGATAAAAAGCATCAAAAGTTATTTTTATTTCAAAACACATTCATTGTATGGTCCTTCCTCAAAATATAAATAATTCGTTTTCACAGAAAGAATACTTATCAAAACAGAATACACACTACTAAAATCTAGATATCACATTTTTAATCAAATCCTGTATTTAAACAAGACCTAGAAATCTTCCACTTATATTCTGATAATGAATGCACTAATTTGAAATTTCACCTGTGCATTACAGTTGCTTATTATATGTTCACCTATTACAAAATAGTCAAGTATACAGGAATTTTTTTTTATAAAAGCAAAATGTAGAAAAAAATATTCAGGGTCACCTCTTAAATGTTTTTCCCTTTGATCTTCCAAAGTGTAACTGCAGTACTTAGTCATGTAGACTGCTCCAAAAATAACTGTTGGCCTGATATGTGATACATCTGACAAATATGGTAGGGGGAAAAAAAAGAAGCACCACAGCTAATTGCTGGGAGAGATCTGCTGTCTGCTGTACAAATACAGTTTGTATGCATGTGCCTCAGGAAAAAAATGTCAGTGAATTATTTCATTGCTGTTCAGCAATTTGCATTAGCTTTAACGACTGCCAACTATGACATTTAAATAAAAACGCCTCTTAATTTGAGCAGCTTAGTAGGGTTTTCAGGTACTAGAGTAACAACAAAATAGTTGCAGCAAACAAAACTGTGCAGTACGATTAAGACATTTCTGAGAATAAAACTGACCCTGTAGTGGTAGGATTACTGCTTCCTATTACATAAATTCATAATGTTATTTGACATGCACCAACTACAACACTGTATCAACTTAAAATTTGGATCCACATTTCAAAAACAGTTGATGCATCAAAGGGAATGAATGAAAAGCATCCTCTCACCTCTGTGAAAAAAACCCATTAAGGCAGACTGGAGAAAGATTCATTAATAAATGACAAAAGCATCAGAAAAAAATTCTGAACCAGAATATGGATCTCAGAGGATAACTACTGTTCATATTGGTAGAAAATAATGAAGTTATGCCAGTTTACCTGGCCACTTCTTACATTCCATGTATTTTTCCAGTTAGTTCCTTCCAAGCAGAAGGCAAGTTAATTGAATTCCCCTTCTCTCTCCTTCCATTTTCCCCTCAAAGTGAAAAAATTACAGAACTTTTACTTAGCCACAATGATGGTAGAACATTCAGTTTCCTGAATTCCATCTTCAGGAAAAACAGTAACAAGTTGATAACAGGTATAACTTTAAAGAATAGCCATCTTAATGGATTTCAGCTCTTACAAAACTAGAGAAAAAGAAACATTCCAGGCATGTCTCTCTAAAAAAGGATCTCTTTTACTGTATTAAAGAGAATGTTAAAAAACCCCCAACAAACTATTTCTATTGCTGACCAAATGAATCTTGAAGACACAAAATTTCTTCTATAGCTAAATCTGGCATTTTTTTGAAAGGAATGTACTTCAAGTAAGCAGGCAGCATGCATGTAATTAGGCCATTCTCATGTCATAGGAGGAAAAAAAAAGTTGTGTTACACCAGAAATCATATAAAACTAAATTCTAATCATAACATTCTTTCAGCAGTTTTTCAGGAATTACAATAAAGAATGCTATAACTGAAAGAATACATCCTAACAGTAAATTTAGAAATGGCAAACACAGCAAAATATGTTAGAATTTAAGTAATTCAGTTCAGTGAGGATGCAACTGTAATCGTTAACCTGAAAATCTTAAGAAATAAACTGGTAAAATGTCATATCACCTTAATAATAATGGTGGCATGTGCTGGAATAAACAGAAATTAACTTCAAAGACTGATTTTTAAGTATCTCAAACTGACAGAAGCCCACAGTAGCCACTACTACTTGTGCTGAGGTAAGCTTTTTGCTTAAAGAAAAAAATCCCTTAGCAAGCTGCTGAACACAGAAGACTCTGCTTATGAGAAAAAGAACTACTAATTACTCTGCCAGTGGTAGCATTATTAGAGCTAGGCTTTTCACTAATATAGTCAATACAGTTTTAGGGTTTTATACTTAATTACAAAATCATTTGCATTAATAGACTTACAAGCTTCTAAAGCAAGTTCTTCTTGAAATATTAGAGGGCTTACTTTCAGAAAAAAAAGCATTATATCCTTTCCATCCTCGTTTCTCAATATTAAAAACTTAAGCCTCTAAAATTTGAATAAAAATTAATTATCTATAGAGCAACTAAAACAGGAGTTATCTACATGATTATCATAGGCCAGGATTTACAATCTTCTAATAAATTCCTGTGGAAGTCCTGCATATTTGCAGGATTATATCAGAATCACATTAATCCCAGTGGGTAATTTAACAGTACCTTGCGTGCAATTGGCTCTTGACCTTCCATCAGTGTGTACCAGCTAACTAGCCTATTCCAGCCTTCAGTTGGCAAAAGGATGTAGTCCAGCTCATCAATGAGATGTTCCTTGAGGGACTGAGAATCACCATCTACAAGAGGAAAATATTTTTACTTGAATACTGTAATTCTGTTACTTGAGATTTTAATGTAATATTTTTCATATAAACAGTAAAAATATTTTCTGAGTCACATTTATGTTATCAGTATTATTATGTTCAAAACAAAACTCTTCTGAAACTATTTAAGCAAGCTATTCAGTTCAGGCATAGCACATCTATTACAGGTAGCATTCCTAACTCATTAACCCACGTCACAACTCCATATCCTCATGCAATCAGAAGCACCTAACTTGTTATCGCACACTATCACAGCCTTCAGAGAAATCAATCCATTTCTCCAACCACTTCACACATATTCCCACATCACCATGGATACTTCCATTTCATGCTAGTTGCATCCTTCACTCAAAATGCAGGAATGGGTAGTTACGGTAGATCCAAGACACAGTTCAAAGTCATTCACTCCATGTCAGACTGGGAAAATAACATGGTACAACCCTACATGCTCTGTAAACACAGTCCCTAGAATATTCTTCACAGGGACAGTGAGATGAAACAATTGAAAGAAGTACAACTTGTTACATAAGTTGTATGCTTTTAGCTTTGGTACAACCCTTGTTACAGTAGTAAGACAGCAGCTATCCTATATGCAGAAGAGGCGATTCCAGATCTGAGCCACTGTAAGCCTCAGACAATTAGGACTGCTGTGTTTCCATGTGGAAGTATCCACTACAGGCCAGCAAACATCCCTCTCTACAGAGGGAGATGGGACAGGGCGACCCACACATTCAGCTCCAAAGAATGAATGTGGATGACAAACTTAATGAAGTATGAAAATAAACAGAGTATGTATAAAGAGTAAATAGACTGTAATAAATATACAGTCTATTTATTTTCATTGTCCTATGTGAATGAACTGCAGAATTCCACACTGCACAATTAAAACTGAGCATAGAAGTAACCTTAAATAATCTCAAATTGTTTCAAGTATTGGCTTTCCTCTTTTTTTTTTTTTTTTTTTTTTTTTTTTTACAAGTAACACTTTAAGCAAAATTAATACTATTACCTACATTTTTCTGCAAGGACAAAAATAAGTGCATGCTATGTGCATATGAAAAGCACTAAGGTCCTCTCATTTGATCATATTTCTGCACTTGTCTTGTTTCTCCTTTGTAGAGATTCAGCAAACACAGCATAATGTGACTTCAATTAAAAGAAAAAAAAGAGTCCTGAGCATTAAAAAAGGCACACTTAAAAATTAAAAATCCTTTAATAATAAAAACTATTATTTTTTTTCTGTGTATAAGAATTTAACAAAACATGTTTCAACACGACCTTTTCCGAAGGAGGGCAACACTACTGAGGACATTTAAGAGACGTTTAAGAGACGTGTTCAATTCTTGGTGGGAAGTATAAACAAGATTCAGCTTACCAAGTCTCTAATATCCAGATTTCTAACGTCTCTGCTCTACCTGCACTTACTACACCTTCAGCTGGTTTAAAGGGTTTGTGATTTTAATGGAAAATACAGGAAAAAAGCAATGCTTTTTGTTTTAATCACCTAAATGGTGAAAATATGGACAAACAAGAATGCACAGCTTTCTTCTGCTCCTTATCACTGGTGCTGACTGCCTCTTTCCTTCTTCAGCTTGATGTGTGAGTAAAACATGGGAGAAGCATATTGTTCTCAGTTCATGTATTTTAAGTGTGCAACAGCTGCTCAGACATGGCAAAAAGATACTGTTTCCATAATATGTAATCTGCCCAGTTCAGAGATGACTTTATGCAGTCAAGGTACTATATGGTTTGCACGCATCTTCTCCGATAAAAATCATCAGTGTGGGAAGAGCTGAACCAAAAAAACCACTAGTAACAACAAAAAACTCAAGATACAGCCAGATAAATATTAGAATTATTAAGTTATTTTAGAAAAGGGGATAATCAAATTCAGAAGTAGCTGAAGTATTTGTTGCAATTTTAGCAAGAAGCAACACAGAAGGAAACAAAGGAAAGCAGAAGAAAACCTCAGACTTTGGATTCCACTTTGGGAGCCATAGTACTTACATTTCTCAAGCAAAAAAGTAAAATGGAATTTCACATTAACATGTGAGTGAACATACAGGTAAATAAAAATTCAGTTCTTCATTGAGAGAAATATAATTAATGTGACCTAATAAATGATACTTCAGTCAATGCACCTATTTAAAAGATACTTTCCTTTTTTCTTCTCAATCTGTTTCACCTTATCTGTAAAATTTTCAAGACTCAAATTTTGGTTCAAAACTGCCTTGATTGGTTAGGCAAAAATCTACATGCAAGATCTATATCCAAGAAACAATTCACGACCTCCACCATCAGTTCTTCCTTGGCCCACTCAACACTATGCATGTGGTGGTTCCATTATAACTAGGAGCAAGGTGTGGGGAGAAATTCATAAACACATCTTCAGGTCCATGTATGTCTTTGAAAAGTTAATACTATATTTCTGCACTGATCTCACTGCTACAGGAGTTTATAGTGAGAAGATACAATTTGGATTCCTCTCCTGTCTTTCTAAAATCCCCAACATTTTTTCTGAGCATAATTTTCTCAGAGCCTTATTCCACCAAAGAAGTCCCCTGCCTCTGACAACTCAATCTCTCATATGCAAGTTTTCTATGATAAACCATCAGTTATTCTGCATAACCACTTCCTTGTGCTTGCTTTGCTAATGTAAAGTTTACAATATAACTCTTCTTCTGAAGACAGCAAGTGTGTACTCCGTTACACAGAACAACATTTTGGCATATGTCGAGATCAACCGAAATCTCTGCCTGTTACTTTTCATTGCTTTCACTTCATCCAAATAATCTGGAAATAAGGGAGCAACATTTAAGTAACGCAAGTACAACACACTGCTTCAGTTTCCTGGAATCAGTCTTTCTTGAATTTAGTAATAGTTTTCCTTAGTACTGCATTACACTGCAGAATACCTAAGAAAGCATGCCCATTTAGGATTATTTTATATTCTTTAAACCAGATGCAAATTTTCATCTAACACTTAAGGAGAGTAGTATCAGAGTAACTAGTGCAAACTACATGCTGAAGACAGGATTAAAACCCAAGCATTTTCAGGTTCAATTTATGCTATATAGGAAATCTTGTACAGAGGATTGCTGCTTTGCAGGAAGTGAAGGATATAGCTACTATTTGCTGAGCACTAATGCCCTTACTTTTAAAACTGCCTTCACACAGGAACAGTACATGCCAGACAGTAATTGCATGTATGATATTACTGCCAATACAGAGCCAGTTTTAGAACCATGAATGAGCAAAAATGAAGTTCATAAACCCTGAAGTTGTGTTTATTTTGAAAGGGGTATGGGCAGTGTCAAAATGATGGTAAGAATACAGGTTTTCAGGAGCTTTTAGCAAAATCCCTAAAATTACTTTAGATTTGGACAGCTAACCCTAACACAGGCTTCATATCCACAGTAACTTTAAATACAAACTGAACACATTTGTAGATTAAGTTATTTATAACTCAGATCAACTAGCATAGTGCTTTGCATGTCTAGAAATCACCTTTTTTTAAAAATGAATAGACACAGAAGAGAGAATAAGTGATGCTGCCTTACTCAGGATAAAAGGGATCTTGCTACATCTGATTTCAATTGAGAAGTATCACCTGAACATGCCTGCCTCATTGCAAGAGTTACTACAAGAATGTACAAAAGACCTAGATCCTCACATTTCAGAAAACAAAACATGTCACTTACCTAGTGCAAAAAGACCTTTAAGTTTGTGGATGGGAGAGAACATACAAATGTACACAACAATACAGCACCTTCTCCAAAGGCATTGATACTAGTCACTGTCAGACACGTGCATTCACACTGACTAGTGCAACATGGTATGACATGTCGTATGAAAGAGGCAATCATCTTTAACCTTTAACTTGTAAAATAATGAGATATTAACTACAGTTGAGAAGTTTTGAATTAAGAAAGTCAGAGTTCATCATAAACCCCATGAAGTTGTAAAAATTTGTATTAGTATGTGCAAAGAAATTACACAGTACTATTACATTACCTGTAACTGCAGAGAAGGAAATCAATTATCTTCCTGATTTTGTATCCACTAGATTTTGTAGATTAAATATTAACGGCTCTAATGGTATTTCAATACTGGACATTAAATACAGAATTTGACCTAAAGATTAAAATATCTGGGAAAGTAATCTGAGACCTGTGCCCACAAATCTGACTATCGTTCCGCAAAAGTCAGGCAGACCTGAGTATTCATAACAGTGACAGAGTTTAACTATACCTGAAAGACCATAAAAAATTAGGAAATTGATCATTTCACACCACTTTATATTATCACTGAACTGCATAACATCCTTGATCATTTCGCACCACTTTATATTATCACTGAACTGCATAACATCTCTTCTTCAATTCTTCCAGAATCAAAGTAAGGACTTGGGGCTCATTTACAAAAAGAAATTTGAGAGTTCAACTTTAAAATGGTATTTTAAATCAACCAATTCAGTTAAGCTAAAAAAAAATCTTAGTGAACTCAAGCTAGTAATTTGTCATCTTGACTAAATTTCAACTCTGAAGGTATCCTAAAATATAATATAAACCAGTAATTTGTACATTATTAAATATTCTGCCACAATTGCAAAGAAGTTCCAATGATTTTATTTATAAAATTGTAATTTTTAAGGGAAATGTATTCCATTTCCCTCGTCATGGTCTGAAAAGAAACAAACAAACAAAAGTTTCACATTCATAAATGATGCGATTCATTTACACTATTAAGTATAAAAAAAATATGCACAATCTGTGACAGATTTGCACTAAATGTTAGTACTGGCTTATTACACAATCAGAAGCAGTTACCTTTGAGAAGTCCAGAATTATCAATAGGACCAGGATACACATTTTGATCTCCCATCTGGTATTTGTCCCAGCTGTCAAAACCAACATATTTTTTCCACTGTTTGAACCAGCGACTATCCACTAGATACCTTAAACGGAAGAAGACACACAAGTTAATTACTGGCATGCTACTACTTCCTAAAGTACCAATTAATCACATTGACACACTTGTATCCATCAGCCCTGCAAAATGGAGAATGTTTTTCTGTCTGGTCTGCTAACCTTTATCAGCATCTCTTACCAACAAGGACTTCAATTGTGGGCAATTAAAGATCCCACTAATCACAGGAGGCAAGTACAGTTTTGCAAGACTGTCAATGCAGCATATCAGAAGTTGAAAAATGGCAAGTTCAAAAAAACATTTCCCTTTTTAGCATGAAATATCATCAGCTTTAATTCCTGTTCTCAATTTGTGAATTCAGGAGATTCAAGTTAAATCTTTACAATTAGACAGCCCTTTATAAAATGAGAGATAACTTTTAGTAAAATATTTCTTCCTGCTGGAGTTCTATTTCTAACATTCATATGCAAGTTGAAAAACTTCAGAACTCTGAAGTCCTGTCAAGAACCAGAGTCCAAGTGTTTTCTTTCTTTGAGTCAGCATTAATACATACAGTAAATGTTCTGCTTTTGAGGCAGTACTAGATGTTCCTCCTTCATACAATTATCAACTTCAGACTTCCATATAAAGGGTTATCTCTAAACTCAGCTCCACAGTATTTCTACCCAGATTAAACTGTTGCCATTCTGGCTTTTACTAAGACCAGCGATACCTACATTTTGTATCTTTTTGTCCAGAATTTC